CTTTATTAAGATGAATGGATGTGTCACCCCATGCCATGCTAAGCATCAGCTTCTCTGGAGGGCAGCTGCGGTTCTTCCTTAGAAAGATGTCCCTCCCTGAGCTTTCTGGGGGGAATAAATCGAATGTTCAGGCCATTCTGTTAGTGCCTGAAGCAGCTCCCTGCCTTTCCTGTCACGAGTCCTCTATGGGAAACCTTCCCTAAAATGAGGTGAAAATAAACCGAGAAAGGAGTATATATCTGTCATGCATCAGGCCAGATACCCTGGTTCAGAAAGCTCAGAAACAATAATGTGAAGTCATATTCTTTCTCAGTCAGAGGCAATTGCAGAGTTTCGGGTTGCACACAGTGATCTGGAGTCGGGGCTGGGACGTCAGTAGCACAAGCGCGCATGTGCAGGAGTCGTTCAGGTGCTTCTCCCTCGAATCCATGACTCTTCTTTCAACACTGTTCAGCAGAGGGCATGCTGCGTGGTGGTGGCATCTCATGCAGCAAGCTGGGAATCATTTTTGAAGCTGGAATTGCATGAGCACGCGCCTACAAAGTTCTACGTTTTGTTCATGCACGAAAACAGAACTTGAGCTGATGGAGTCTACCTGGGTCAAGTATTCGTAGTGTAGCGCACCCAAGTGAGGTGTGTAACCTGCGACTGTCTGAACAAGAAAATGTATTGGCAGAGGATGATCGACTATGAAGTGTGTAATGGAGGAGCTTATATTCAGCTTGTTGGGTTGGGTATTATTTTCTCTGACGTTCATGATTTGAATATGTATATGGACATACATACACATATATGTGTATGTCATTTATCAGTAAATTTAAGTAGGAATTTTTTTACTGTTGAATAATTGATTTTTAAATATTTCCTGGCTTGCTTTTCTGTTACTAAAGAGAAACAGAGCTGACTACTGCATGGAGTTGTCATCCTTCTCCACATAATCTCAGCACTGAAACTGCAGGTAACACTGAACCTTTCATAACATGACTTGCCATGCAAACACCTGATGAAGTTTAATGTCCAGATTAAGTAAGGTAAGAGATTTCCAGTAATCAACAAAATAGAACAATTCAAGCAATATAGTGAGAAGTAAGATACACGAGTATGGATAGTCCTCTTAAATATCTTATTTTACCATACTTCCTCTTTTTCTGCTTGAAGCATTATGTGATGATACAATGCATATGTGATAACATGAAGGCTGTAGTTATCGTGCTGAAGGGGAAGGCCAAGTGGGATTGGTATCTCGTCACCAAACTGGCTAGAAGTGAACAATATGCACCGTGGATACTGTCCAAAATGGTGACTGACATCCCAAGCAGGCAGAATGACTGCAATGGTGGTTTTCAGACAGATACTTGGGATGGAATTCAGGTCCTCATGCCTCTTGATTGAACAGCAAACATTTTACAAAGTGAGCCATCTCCCCAGCCTCGTGTCTTTCAATAGGTAAACAGTTTTCTTAATGGTGATGTATGGTGCCTAGTCTTATGTCGGTTTGAGACAATCTAGAGTTATCTGAAAGGAGGCAACCCCAGCGGAGAAAAGGCCTCCATAAGATCAGGTTGTAAGGCATTTTCATAATAAGTAATGGACGGGGGAGGGCCCAGGCCACTGTGGGCGGTGCCATCCCTGGTCTGGTGGTCCTGGATTTTCTAAGAAAGCAGGCTGAGCAAGCCAATAAGCAGCACCTCTCTGTGGCCTCGGCATCAGCTCGTGCCTCCAGGGTCCTGATCTTTTTGAGTTCCTGTCCCGATTCCCTCCAGTGATGAACGTAAATATGGAAGTGTAAGCCAAATAAGTTCTTTTCTTCCCAACTTGCTTTTTTGGTCATGGTGTTTTGCCACAGTAATAGAACCCTAAATAAGACATGGTGTCATTTTGTATCTCTATTGTTATTATATGAAAGATATAGTTTCTCTGTTCTCTCAATAAGTAGCATGGCCGGCCTTTGTAACTTACCTACTATGACAGGTGTCTCATAATATGTCATAGTGGCTTTTATTTACATTTTCTTAGCAACTCTTTAAATTGCTGATAGGTACTCAAGAAAGCATGAGATACCAAGCATTTCCCATGTGTTTTTTTTAACCACCTGTACGTTTTCATTAAGTGGCTATCTATCTAACACTTTCACATTTTTAATTATGTGTATGCATGTGTGTCTCTGTGTGGGTGAGTACACTCACATGCAAAGGCTCTAGAGAGCATCACATCCCTTGGAGCTAGAATTAAAAGTTGTATTGAGCTAACTGACTTGGGTTAGAAATCAAATTTGGGTCCTTTGCAAATCTAGTACGTTGTTCTCTTAGCCAATGAACCATTTCTTCAGTTTCTAATTCTTTCCTATTTTTAATCAGACTTAAAATTTGATTTATATTATTGAGTTCTGAGAGTTCTTTATATATTCTGGATATCAATCCATAACTGATAGGTATAGCATAAGAATCTTTCTTACTTTTTTACTTTTCTAGCCCTTTCTTGACAGTGTTGTTCAAAGATAAATTTTTGATTTTTATTAAATCAAAAGTCTTCTTTTTATCTTTTTCCTTTGATAGTTTATGCTTTTTGTACCTATACAAGAAGTCTTCCGAACTTTTATATGTATTCTTTGATAAAGAGAATAACTTTATTTTTTTTTGCAAAACCCAGAGAAAAGTTGTCTAGACTTCAAAACTTTCTTGAAATTCACTTCTATGTGAATATCTTGAAAATGCCTCTCACAAATAAAATAAACCTTTCTGAGTTATTTTAGTCCACAGAGTTCTTTTTTTCTGTGTTTGTTTGTAGAATCACCTGTTCTCATAAGGCTTGACTGTCAACCTGACATAGTCTAGAGTCACCCAAGAAAGGAAGTTTCAGCTGAGGCATTGTCTATATCAGATGGCCTGTGGGCATGTCTATGGGGTATAGTCTTAATTATTCATTGATGCAAGAGGAGCCAGTCCACTCCAGGCATTACCATCCCTAGGCAAGTGGTTCTGGACTGTATAGCAAAGCTAGTTTGTCGTGAACATGGGAGTGAGCTAGTAAGCATTGCTGTCTGTGGTTTATGATTCAAGCTCCTTTAGAGTCCCTGCCCTGATACCCTTCAATGAAGAGCTGCCACTTTGAAGAGTAAGTTGAGATAAACCCCTTTTTCCTCCAAGTTGCTTTTGTATAGAATGGTTTATCAAAACAGAAAGGAAACTAATGTATTCAGAGTTCTTTGCCCAGATCAATGTTTTGAACCTATTTTCTGTTGCAATAACTTTTTGATGTTCCTTGATGTATGTATTTTACCAGCCAATAATAACCATGTTAGGCTGTAGTTTAAGGATATGAAGATAACCATAGCCCTTTTCTCTTTTGCTTTATGTAAAGGCTTGACCAACTCTGCAATAGAGGATATGTGGATTTCTTGAAGTCATATCTTAGGAAAGTGCAATGATGGCATTTTGTTGTTGGTAATAGTTATCATTGGGTTATTGCATGTATTTTTTTTGCTTAAGTTTTTCAAGGGATCTTTTCCTGTAGCTTTACCCTTGAGATGGGATAATATATTCATTTATTGAAATAATTTATTATCACAAAAAGTCCTGCACAGAAACAAATCAAAACCAAGAGATTCTGAAACTCCCTTATCTAGCCCTTACACTGTTTTCTTATCTTAGTGTTTAGTCTTAACACTGGATAATCCAGTTAAAAATACTTTTTTTTTGACAAGAAAATATTCATCTTGAACTATCTTCTACAGAAGTGGTTGCTTCCTTATTCAATTACGTTACTAAGGCAGCCATTGGGTCTCCATGATACATGTTGTTGCCTACATATGTACATCTGGCACTAAATCCAAAGCTTCTTGAAGACAGGAAGTACTCTTTCCTTCACATCCCCAGTATCCTAGTAGCACAGTTCAGGACTTTAACTCAGGTACCAGGGAGATTAAAGTATATGTTAAAGTTATGTCAGGATTGCTGTGAGCTAATAAATCACTGATGTTTCTATATTCATTTTTCTTTCTGGGAACGGAAGATAGACACACGTAGAGGTGAAAAGCTAAGTTTTAGAGTAACATTATTTTGGATTCAAATGCCAACTTCAATTCTTGTATATCTATTTTCTTCTTTTAAATTTAATATGTTTATTATTGTATATTAGTATTATTATTAGTGTGTGTGTATGAGAGACAGAGAAAGACAGAGAAACAGAGAATCTGTGTGCATGCTATAATGTTTGTATAGACGTCAGAGGACAACTGGTGGGGATTGATTTTCTCCTTCCTCTGTATGGGTCCTAGGATTCACACTCAGGTTCTCAGCCTTGGAATCAATAGGCTTTACCTTTTGGGCCCTATTTAAGGACCCATATTATTTTTTTTTTAATTTATAAAGACAAGGACACCAGACTTCAGGTTTTTTTTTTTTGAGTGTTTTAGTGAGCCACACAAAGTATATAGCACAGAGTATTCAATATGTGGTAGATGGTAGATGTTACTATTGGGATCATCAGAATATATTCTGAAGTACGTGTTCATACCAAGACAGTTTTTCTGCCTTACAGAACCTTATAATACATTGAATTAGCTTATAGAAATAACTATATCTCAATGAGAGACCCTACTTCATAGAGAAAAGGCCGAGAGGGGGGAGAGGAGACCATCTGGTGTGCCTCTCTTGAACATATATATATATATATATATATATATCCATATCTATATATCTAAATGTACACTTGCACATACCCTTCACATACACCTCACAAACATATATAACTTTTTGACTATGCTGGTATCCAAAAATTCCAAACACCCTTTTACATGTCACTGGGATCCTATTTCTGTTTCTCATGTTTGAGCAGCAAGAAATCTAGACCACTGAGCTATTTCTTCAGCTGCACCACATGTATTTTTGTTAAATATTTAAATATATATATTATTGATTTTTATTGAGCTCTACATTTTTCTCTGCTCCCCTCCCTGTCTCTCCCCCCTTCAACCCTCCTCCAAAGTCCCCATGCTCCCAACTTACTCAAGAGATCTTGTCTTTTTCTACTTCCCATGTAGATTAGATCTATGTAAGCCTCTCTTAGTGTCCACATTGTTGTATAAGTTCTCCAGGATTGTGGTTTTAGACTGGTTTTCTAATAAATATTGTCAAGTGACAAAAAAAAAGAAAAAAGAGAAATAGCTATACATCATGAGCCTTCCAGAATTTTCCTTATCTGTTTGACTTTTACTCTTCTTGTGCGATGACCCCTGTTGTGTCTGTCGATGCCTTTTTTGTTATATATAAATGTCTCACCAACAGTAAGGATTATGACTTATCAAATGAAAAGTTCACATGAGGAGTTCCGTGTTTTATAAAAGCCACTCATAAATGTAAGGCTGTTGTCTGTAGACTCCTAACCAAAATACTGGAATATTTCAGTGTTCATAATCATTTGAAATGTAAAAATATTCATGCAATCTAGTTATTTTAAAGTATCATGTGTCTGCATCCACGTACATTGCAAATGCTAGAAGTCAATGCATGTGACACCGTTCATTCATTTACTCAGGCATCTAGTTTTTTTTGTATGCTGCTTTTTCTTTTTATTAGTATCTATCCAGTATAAATGTTTCTCTCATTTCACTTTTGGCCTTTCTGCTCATTAATTCTTTTCTTCTTCTACTTTTAATGGGGACTCATCTAAAAGTCAGACCACCATCTTTTCTCATTAAGGCCTACTTCTTGGCAGCCATAGTGCTCAGCTCCAGAATGCTGAGTCACATCAAAACAGCTTCCTACAAGTGCCTTAAATTGGTTGTATAAGTGGTTGTAAATCTGGGGTAAATTTCAGCTGGGAAAAAGTCCACATTTTTTGAAAAAAAAATAATATTTTAAAAGTTAAAAACTATATAGAGAAAGAGTTTTAAATTGGCTTCCCAAGCCTGCCAGTACCTTTCAGGCAGACTTCAAGGATACCACCCACCCTGTCCAATCTCACATCCTCTAACCCCCATGGACATTGAGGTGTTGTGTATGTGCCATCCATTTTCAGGTTCCTTGCAAACTGAAGGTTCACACATGGCAGATACAATCTTTTTTTCTGTTACTCACAATTTCTCCAGAGTATGTTCATGCTGATCCTTGGTTTGGCTCAAAAGATTTAAGTACACATGTTGTTGTATCTGATAAAGTAATAATACGAGTAGGCTGAGATTCCCGGAATCAGCTGAGTGTTGTTTTACATGGAATTTTGTTGTTATGGACAGATGTCTTTTATGTAGAGGAGCCAGACAGTCCATTCTCTGATGATGAGAGTATCCCCTTCCCCTCTTCTGCCTTCTCTGCACTCCGTTCTCCGCCTCCCTCTTCTTTGGCACGCACTCAGCACCCCTGTAAAACACAAACATCTGAGGCATCAATTCTCCAATTTTCTGGATGTCTCAGGCTAATGTTTCCATTAGTTTGTGTTTGCTTCCTTGAAGCAGGATAATTGATTCGCCCATATCCAGATCTATACATTATGTATTAGTAGATGAGAGATCACATACAAATGGCGGGACATGGCAGGCGGCAGCCACACAGATTAGCTTCAGCTGATCATATAATAACCACAAGTCAGCTCTGCACTGGGCTCAATGAGTCTCCAGAGGGAAATCACAAGAATCTTTTCAATTTTTCAGAATGGCTTTCCCTTTCTTGTACTCTTAATAAAAACATTTATTCCCTGGGCATCCTGGGGTAAAATTTAGTCCTAATCAGTAACAGTCAGCATAGAATTAATTATTAAAAAGCAGAAGTACGATGGGACTGTCAGAGTTCAGGGACTAATAGTAGGAGAATTCAATCAGCATTAAAACAGCAATTATGCACTTCCTCGGCAAGTGTGGGCTTCTAGCAAAAGAGAGAAGGTAGCTGACAGGCTGGCCCTGAGACAGGTACCTATGCACTCTTTGAATACATAAGCAGAGCCGGAGAAGGGAGTTGCCACTATTTTCTGGCTGAGAGAAAATGTTTTGTCAGTGATGGGCTGGAGGCCAGCAGTATAAATTTCTACTCAAGTCTGAATATCTGAAAAAAGGGTCTGCTCTTTGTATCTGTCGTTTAACAGATAGAATCTGTATGGATGTTTGAAGAGGCTGTGTTGTGACCTCTGCCAGAACCAAAGGAAAAGGGAGAGGGGATGTTTGGCCTTGACATCGCTGGAACGGCTTCTTAGAACTAGAATTTCTGTCTAGCCCGCAGCTTCAGTGTCTTTTCAGGATACAGTGACCTACTGCTTGGTCCTTAATCCTGCCCTAGGGGTACAAGGGCTGGAAATCAAGCCAGGGGGTGAAAGGAAGCCAAAGAAACAGGGAAGTCTTCTGGCTGAAGTTTATAATTAGGGTTAGTGAAGCAGCCATGTCTCCTTGTCTCCTCTGAACTTCCATGATGTTCCATGATGTTGCAACTTCTCCAAGCTTGCAAGATGGAGCTTAACATCTTAACATATGGGTAGTTAAAAGGGATGATGGAACAATCAGAGGAGACAGAACGACGGAATGTGAATGTAGGCACTGGAGCGTGAAGAAACAATTAGAAAGCAAAGGGCAAAAGGAGACCTGAGAGGGGTGTGTGTGTGTATGCGTGCTTACGCACGCTCATATATGATCAAAGTACCTTATGAGCTAGTGCTAAAATATCTTAAGGAAGTCCATTACTACGTATAATTAATATACACTTAACAAAAATAGATTTTGAACACTAATGTATGGTCCACAGGGCAAGTTGTCAGACTCTCTTTTTAAACATCTGACCTTGATAGAATATCGAAAAATCAAACGACAAAGAGGTGGGGTCTTCTCTTGGATTTTGAATATTATTTATTTGTTTGTTCATTTGCTTACTTTTAGGTATATGTGTATGTGTCTGAGTTCAAATATTTGCACAACACGCATGCTGTGGCCTGAAGAGGTCAGAGGAGGCAGTGGATCCCTTAGAATTGGAGTTGCAGATAGTTGTGAGTCACCACGTAGGCACAGGGAACTGAACTTGGATCCTCTGTAGGAGTAGAAGTACTGTTAACTGCTGGGACATCTCCCCAGTGCTTGTCATTTGACTTCAGAGCCCTTGATCTCTGTGTTGGTGATTTTCCTATCTCTGATCTCATGTTGGTCATGTCTATACTTAGGATAAGTGCTTTACAAATAATTCACATTTCACAACCCCCCCCCCCCCGCCACTTTAACAAGCCACGTCACCCTACACAAATTTGCTCTCACCTCTGGTCTTCCAATCCTTTGTCTGTGAAGCAGAGAAATGATTGCAGAAGCGTTACGAGGATTCAGTGGGCTGAAGTCCTTAAAGCTCTCCTCTAGGACCACCCATGTGAGTAGCACTATTAATTGTGACCAGGACTTCTTATCAAGAGTCAAACAGAAACTGACCTTCTATTTTTAAAATTAAACAAATGCTTTTATAATTATTAAACATATTATTAAACAAATACATTTAAACCAGCATGTGATGTTTTAGATACCAAGATGCCATTTAAAAATACAACGTGATTTTACGATTCTCCTTCCCTCATCCTTCCCAGCCCCTGTTCCCTCTGTTCCCCCTCGCTGTCAGTCATCCCCCTCACAGATTATTCTTCTCGTTCATGAATTATGTGTCCTTTTGCCCAATCTCATCCCTCCTCTTACCTTGTGTTTTACAGCCTTGTTCTCCCTCCTAGATTCTTAGAGTCTACTTACATCTGGCTATGTATGCTCATGCATATATTATAGATTGAACCTGTCTTTTTTCTGCAGCTTTATAAGGGTCCACTAATTCGTTGGTTTCATCTTGGAGAAAGCTGTTTTTCAGAGGGAGCAGCTCCGCGGATGTTCCTTGCCCACTATCCGATACTTCCTATGCTGAGGGTTGTCACTCGACGTGAAATGCCTGTCAGTTCCTCCAGTTGTTTCCACATTGCTTCACCCCTCGGGTTTTTATTAAGCCTATGAGATGCAAACTCTCATAAGAGTGTACACAGCATCCCTTCTCCCAGGTTAAGTGAACTCAGAGGCTACTTGAGGCAAGATCCAGAATATGCTGGATGAATAACAACACAAGAATTGGGCAAAATTTCTGATGCCACCTGTTTGCACCCGGCAGCTGTTAAGGTCCAGCACATTTTCCCTTGCCATTCAGCATGTGGGTGTTTCACCATCGACTGGTATGTAGGGGAAAGAATGTGCTTTGGATTCTGTACAAATAGCATACTTGAATACCTGAGAATCAGTTAATATTCCCAGACAAAGAATAAGAAAAGATGTTTCTGCCTCCCTCCCCCTTTAGTAGTTTTTATACATGAGGCAGAGTAGACTCTGAAAACACAGACACCAGGGAACACACTTTAAAACAAATAGTTGGTTGCAATCACTGCAATGTGGGAGGGCTGGCCGACCTTTCCTGGCATACAGTTTGCTTTGCCTGAGGAGATTCGATTTTTCAATGTGATCATCTTCTTGGGCAAATCTCCTTTTTTCTGTGAGAGCATTTTTGTGCTCGTCGGCTGTCAGCTCTTTCCCTGCTCCCCTTGCCCTCGTTTCTCTTTCCCGGTGAACTGAACATATCCTACTGTAAGCGCTCCATTTCTGTTGTCATTCCAGTTCCAGCTGGTAGAGGCCAGTGTGCCCCGCGAATGATGATGTCCACAGCTGAACCCAACCAAGGCCCAGGCCTTGACCCAGGCTGCTGCCTGCTGGCTCAGGAGGGCTCCTTTATTTGGTTGGCGGTTGTAAAGAGAGCAATATGCATAATGTATCTTTGTCACCAAACAATTACTTTTTTTTCCTTTTTTTGTAAAATGTAAGAACTGCACCTGTGTCGATAGTACTAGCTCAAGATGAGATGTTTAAATCCAGGAGAGAATGAAGGATAAGAGCAGAAGTGTCCAGAATCTGATCATGGGAAAGGTGAGAGGACAGCCATAGAAGGGGAATAACTTTTTAAAATTTTCAAGAATCTCCAAGAATTTATTTTTGAGCTGGCTATTGTGGGTTTGCCTATATATCTTCAGGATGCAGGAAGAGTCTGAAGTCAGACGGAGCTGAATAGTAAGACCATGTCTCAATCCCTCAGCCCTATCCCAGCCCCAAAATTAATAATGATGATGACAATAATAAAGATTTAAAAAGCTGTGGCTCAGTGGTAGATTACTTGTGCAGCAAGTGGAAAGCCTTAATTTTGATCCCCAGCACCACACACAAACCGAAGCAGTGCTGCCACAGTTATGGGGAAGTCGGTGGATTGGAAAGAGAGGACCAGAAAGGAGACCTTTCGTTCAAGGGGTGGTGCGGGCCTGGAGGGTGAGCACCAGGTATTTGAGCAGTGATTCCATCAAGTTTGGCCCTTGTGCAGCTGTGTGTGACTGTCAGAAGGCAGACACAGATTTGTTTGGAGATCAATAATTATACCAGATGACTTCTTAGGGTGCCTTTTTTTCTAGAACTCTACTTCTTAACGTGATTGACAGGATGCAGAAGCTTCTGTTTAGTTGCTGTTTTCTCGAGGAAATATGGAGGACCTCTTCTGGACAGCATCTGAATAAGAACAAATATGGAAGGTGTGCTGATTTAGACTTTATAAACTGTACAGAGATAAAGAATGCTTGGCACTTGTCTTTTGTGGACTGTAGAGCCCATGTATTTCCCACTGATGGTTTCGTCTGCTGCTCAAATGAACTTGGAAAGATTCAACTAGTTCACTGATGAGAAGGCAGAACTCAGAGAAGTTAAATGACATTGCTAGGATCTCTCTGTAATAGGAGGCAAGTTAGAAGATTTGAACCAAGTCCAACTCTAGAACGCATATCCTGTGTGGCTGGTATTGGAGCTAGCAACAAACAGTGAATAAAGGGTAGAGCCTAGAGACAGAGACCAGTGTAGCACCTGGGAAAACTCCCTTGAGGAAATCCTGGGCAGAATACAGGAAGGAAGAGATGTGGGTTAGGGAGAAGGGGGGAAGGGTGTGCTGCCGAACACAAAAATAACCAAACAAATGAAGCAGAACAACATATGAAGAAAATATGTTGTTAAAAAATGGCCAGAAACTCAGTGTGACTCAAATGGGGGCTATGGAGAATGGACAGGACTGTACAGGGGAGCGATAAGACTGAGAAGGTGGCTGGGCAGAGAGCTTTAGTTGCACCACGTGACTCAATTCCGAGTGGCTTACCCTGTCAGTGATGTGAGATCAGAGGCAGTTAGATGCAGTATGAGCACCAACTCCTTAAGCCTCTTTGGTAAAGGTAATGCTGAGACGCAATGCCTTTCTAGCCCAAGTCTCCCCCAGTGATCTCTGAAAACACTCCAGGTCTGTGTGTAGCTGAGCACTTACCGAGTCAGCAGGTGAATCAAGGACGATTCTGTCATCCCCAAAACCCAGAGTTATCTTTTCTCTCAGTCAACATAGTTCCCAGAGACCCCGGAAAAGCCCGAAATGGCTTATACCCATTGATAGGCTTATCAGGCAAAGCAGCCCAGAGACTGCCTCTGCAGAAGACAAGATAGCAGGCTTCTAAAGGGAAGGAAGGATATAACAGGCAGAGCCAAACCACTGAGTCATCACATGCATGCTTAGATGCATGGGAAGCTGCACATCCACGCTACATTTATTTTCCTATTCTTAACTAGCTCTTGTCATTTATCTAGGCATCTTTACTAGAGAAATGTGTTACACACACACACACACACACACACACACACACACACACACACACACAGTGCCATTAGGATCAAGGTGAAAGCATTCTTCATTCTCTCTCAACTGGAGCTGTTTCCAAGACTAGCAAACACAGCCCCAGCTGGGTTTGTGCAGACACCAGCAGTGAGAGAGGTTCTAAGCAAGGCAGAGTAAACAGGCAGCTCGCTTAGCAGACAGAGACCTGGTCTTGCTCCGTAAGGAGTGAGGAATGCGCAACAAACATATGGAAGGGTATGAAGTGAGCTCGTTCGGATGTTTGAATTATGCGTGTCTGTGGGGCAGAGGAGAAAGGAGCACACGGACTTCCCAGGCAGGCCTGGGGTACGGTTAATTCATTTGTTTAGACAATGACATGTTAAGTACTTACTACCTGTGAGGCGGATAACATGTCAGAAGCGGAGTGAAAATAGAAAACAAGAGAGAAAGCGTCCCTTTGTGAAGAGCTCACGTTCATTTTTCAGGCTGTGGATTTAATCATCTTTTCTCAACACCATTTAGAGGAAACATCTTACAGAAGGAGGCCGCTGGAGAAGGCTGCATCTTTGGCCCACCACTCAAATTTAGTCTAACGTCTGTCTTTATACCACTTAAGAGGAGTGCTTTTTTACATTTGGAGCTAGTTGGGAAAATGGGAAAAAAAAGTCACAATGTAAAACAATATGAAATTTTAAATCCAAGTATAAAATTCGATTGGAATTACTTTTGGAACTAGTTGGGAAAATGGAAAAAAGTCACGATGTAATAAAACAATATGAAATTTTAAATCCAAGTATAAAATTCGACTGGAACAAGTCCATGCTCCTTTGCTTGTGTAGCCTTAGTCTGTGGCTGCTTCCCCTCTGCCGAGGCTGAGCTGAGCGCTCCCACAGCGACAGCGAGGCTTGAGATGTCTAAATTATTTGCTCTTTGGCCCTTTGCAGACTGACCCCTGGTCTCAAGTCTGTAGCTCTTTATGACCTTCTCCTTTCAGTTCATTCTGCCTCTGACCTTCCACTCTGATTGCTCTTGTCAAGCAAAACAGTATTTTCCCTGTTGCCAGGTCTGGGGATTACCTTTTATTTGACCTTTTGGCAGAGTTTACAAGGGAACTCTTTCTCTTCTAACATTTCTTTCTTTCTGACTTTTATGAGATGCAAAGACATCCTCGTTCCTTCTCCTTCTGTCTGCTGTCTCAACCCCCATTCTCAATAATACAGAAAGCATAGAAGAGTCAATTATACATACCCAGCCTGTACTTGGGTTTTCTGAGATGTTTTAACGTTGCTATGCAGCCCCTCCACTGGGTTACACCCACACTGGGATCCATGCAGCCGAAGCCGGTTCTCGGAAGCCCTTCCTTTCCCTTTCTGTCAGCTGCTCACGACAAGAAATGTCAGTGTATTTTAGGATGACTGTGTCTGGTCTGGTGATACTATTTCCTGTTCCAGCAAGAAATACCTTAGATCTATAGGAAATGTGGGGGTCTCTGCAAACACTGGGGCCACTAGAATAATGATCCACATGAGCCAAGAAGTAGTTCCAGCTCAACGTGACTCAAGAGCCTGTGTTTTTTCAAACTCCTTGAGGCCGACAGCAGGCAGTTAGTTTATTTTAGGCACATTTTAGTACACTTTGGAGAAAAGCTTCCTGGTGTAGCACAATCCCACGTGCACAAGGAGACATGATCACATCAAATCTCTTCTTAAAGTACATGTGCTCATTCTTCCATGTAGATGCATTCTTTAGATAGGTTACATGTGTTATCTCAATGGCCTCGAGGGAGATCTAGTGTAATCTGTTATGTAGATAGCACAGAGGTCACCTCGGCTGTTAATTATTTCTAGTCTGGCTTGGCTTCGTACAGATATCATAGCGGTCACGTAGGCATTAGCCACCTCCATTCCCAGCCTTCTGGGTGCAAAACAGGTTCTGCATGTCTTTGTTGAAGAGTGTGTGTTTAACATTCCCCGTTCCCCTAGAGCTTATCTATGAGTACAAGAACCTTTGTGCTCTCACCAGCGAAACATGAGGACAACAGAGTCAGGTAGTTGTCTTCATATGACATCATTCTCAAGATCGGAAACGTGACTGGGAAGATGGTTCAGTGAATAAAATGCTTGCCACACAAGCACCAGGATCACAGTTCAGATCCCCAGAATCCTAGTAAATGCCAGCACTCAGAAAGCAGCAGGAGGAGATCCTCCGAGCACGCTGACGAGCTAGAGCAGAGCGATGGAAAAGGACAGGCGATGTCAATCTCAGGACTATACAAGCCTGCGCGTGCATGCCTACACATAAGACCACACACCACAGTGCATATGCCCCCTCCTCATGAACTTAAGCTCCGGAAAAGTGGTAGAACATCAACCTTCAATAGGAATGCACAAAGCACTTCAGTTCCCAGAAGTCCGAGGAGCAGCTTATATAATCTGTGAAGAAATGCAACCCAGGCAACCGCACCCAGCTGTTCTTTCCCCAGAGCAGGCTCACCTCTCCCAGCCACCAGCAACTCCATCTGCATTGTCTCTGGCTTACAAAGAGGGCTGCTACTCACTTGTGGCCAGGGGCATTTCCTCCATGGGATGTTCTCCAACTCTGCGGAGCTGCATGTTTGGATAGCTCAATTCTCTCTCTCTCTCTCTCTCTCTCTCAGTTATTGTTATTGATAGTACTACAAAGTTGTATGCGGTTTGTCCTAAACTCAGGTTCTATATGATTTTCTTGTTTATAAATCTAATCTTGTAAAACTTGAGGGTGTTCAGGAACACATGTGGTAGTGTTTGCTAATGGTACAAAACTAAAATTTTCAATCTTGGGGTCTGAGTGAAGCCTTTAAGAAACTATTAGAACGCATGTTTGGGTCCTTCGAATGACATGTGACCTTTACAAACCTCCTATAAAATGAAGCTGGCTACACTGTGCTGAAAGCTTTCACTAGCAACTGAGAAGGTGCCTTAAATGAAAACAATTAAAAATTATTCTTTGGTGATTTCGTCGGCCTATACAATGTATTTAAATGCTTTTTATCTCCCAGGCCCCTCCCTCATTCCATTCCCAACTTCATTTTCTTGCTTTCCTCCTCCTCTTGCTGCTCCTCTTCTTTTTCTCCTCTTTTTAAAATAATCCACCAAGTTCAATAGCTGCCCACATGTGCTTGGGTATAGGGCCATTCCCTGGTAGGTAGATGGGCGGTCAACCTATCACGGACCACAAAGTTGAAGACAACTAATTCCCTATCCTGAATCAAGAATCAACTCCCAGAAGTTCCTCAGCTAGAGGTGCATCCTCTTTCTTATCCATGCAAGAGTGTTGACTGTCTCGATTTTTTTAAAAAAAACTGAAATTGGATGTATTTCCATGCAATATATTCTGCTTTCAGTTTCCTCCCTTCAATTCCTTACAGAGCATCCCCGCTTCCTCCCAGCCTACATCCACACTCTTTTCTCTCATTAAAAAACAAGCAGGCATCTAAAAATAAGAGAGAATAAAAACAGACAAACTGGAAAAGGACACAATAAACCAACCTAAAAAAAAAGAAAGAAAGGAAACCAGAGATCTTGTGTGGGCAACAACAGCAGCTGCTTATTAATTCATGAGTATGGTGGCCCTGTTCGGACCAGAAGACATCATTTTGCACCAACCTTCCCTGAACTCTGGCTCTTAGAATCTCTGTACTCTCTTCCATGACATTTTCTGCACCTTGTGGGGGTAGGAGTGTGATTTAGATGTCCCATATAGCACAGAACATACTACTATCTCGTACTCTTTGCACTTTTATGGATCTCAGTATTAACCACCATCCATTGGGCAGGGGCAGGGCGGGGGAAGCTACTCTGATGAGGGGTGAGAACTACACTGATCTATGGGTCTAGGGATAGGTATTTAAATAGACCGTGGCTGTTTATCAAATTAATAAGAGTAAGTTCTCCCACAGGGCCCATAACTTCCTCCCCTCTCTCTAGCTATGGGTTCCTAGCAAAGTTTATAATATTAGGCATGAGTTCCTTCCAGCAGAGCAGACCTTAAAACAAGTTATAAAGGATTTTTTATGACCCGTGGACTATTCCCTCCCTCTGACACCCAAGGAGACACCAAGCGCCCCCTAGAGTTTTCCAGGCACACAGCAGCTTCTACTTACTGAGAGACTGGGCTTGAGTCCTCAGCACCAACCCTTGGGAATGGCCAGTCAGCTGGGAGCTTTGGCCTTTCTTTGCTTGCCTGCTCTGGGAAGAGCAGATAATTCTGAGCTTTATTGTTTACCTGTTGGGTTTGGCTACTTCATTTAAAAGGATTTCCCTCTTGCTCTCCTGTCATTTTCAGTGTGGGTGTTTTCTCTCTCCCTCCATTTCACCAGAGAACAGTGATTGCTGTTGTGGTATTATAACAGTGGCACATCCGCTACTGTCATTTTGAACCTGGTATAGAGTGGCTTTCTTCCTTTCCATCTCTGTTGGTTAGGGAATTGAAGACTGTGTAACCAGACGGCTCTGGACAGGCATCCGATCGACTTCTGTCACCTACTGCACATGTGGCAAGGAGGCCTGGCTGTGTGAGGAGGATTAATAATCAGTTGGACTTAGAGGAGGAATGGAAAGAGACAGTGACATTCCTCTAGGTCCACACACTTGTATCAAGCTATGTCACCAAGTGTGTGGCTTTACTCTGCGGTTGGTTCTAGAAGATCCCCTAAAGGATCATTCAGAGTTTTTAAGCCTGTCTTAAATTATATATCGAGTTCTCCCCAAAGAACAATTTCATTAATTGTCAGTGTTAAAAGCTAGAATCACAGTGCTTTTCTTACATTACACAGCATGTTTTAATACAAGTATCTTCTTTATATAATCTCATATTAAGGAATAATTTTAAAGACAATAACCCTGAAATATCTCCAAGGATATTGACTTAATCTCTTCTTCAGATATCATGAGAGTTACAAACAAGATATATTTATGATAATGTTATCACTCTCAAATTTCCAGAGGCTTTTACTTAATCTTGTTTTAAATAGTCAAAACATCAATTAGTCATTCTTCATACTACAGGGATACTGTCACTCTAAAAGAGGCAACCTAGAATGAGGAAATGACAACTACATGATGTCATGTGATCATCTATCTAGAACTATCAGGATAAGCCTCGCGGAGAAAGTGGGCCAAGTGGGACACACAGATGTCATAGTTTGGTTTTGCCAGGGGAGTTTTCAAGGTAGGGCTGCTGTAGGTAATACCATGTGCTTCCTGGCTTCTATTGTCCATGCCCTCTTGATAAGTTCTTGAGGGTAGAGACTTCTTTTAATTAAATGTGGTCTTCCTAGTGTCTAAGACAATATATTGGATATATATGGCACTCCTAAAATAGAAAGCATACACTAATAAATAATTTTATTGATTAACACACATCTCCTGAGCTGCTCTGTTTCCTGCATTATGCTGGTGTCCTGGGGAATACAAAAGAGGCAATTATTTTTCTACTCTTGGGCACTTCATGGTTTAACCCAAAAGACAAAGTTGCCATACTTGAAACAATTAGAGCGTGGTTCGCTAGTGAGTATTCTGTGGAGTATTCATTATGGGAATGCTGTATCAGAAAGGGTTCTGTGATCTATTAAATTAGAAAGATTAAATATTATCTTTTCCTCCCAGAGATTTCAAATGTACATAAACCCCCAAGTGCTCTGAGAAACCCTAGGATAAAAGAAGCTGCATCAATTCTGAATCACAAGTAAGGAGGAGGAGGTGTGTGTGAGTGTGCGCGCGTGTGTGTCTGTGTGCGTGCATGCGTGTACATGTGTGTGTATGGGTTCCTGGGTTCCTGTTGTGCCTCCAGGTCTGTCATTTATTCACATCACGAACTTCTGAGAAGCACATAGATTCAGAAAACAGAAATAAATGTTGAAGTATGTTTATCCTATTAAATGACAAGAAAGCATCATGCCAGTGGTTCTGAGTAGATAGAGAAATGTCACAGAGCAAGGCTATCTTTGGGAACTGTGTAGCTCAGATTGTTTTTGGTGCTTTTCCCTTTTCTTGCATGAAGTGAAAAATGTTGCCTAAGCCCTCGCCTGGGCGAGCCTTACGGCTCCTCCTAAAGTTGATGAAAGTCATGGAGACTTTCCACGTACCTCATCAGAGTTCTGCTTCCATGACTTCATTGTAACTCTCATTATGACTCTTGAAAATGGAGGTACTCTAAATTCTTTTTTTGAAGGTGAGAAACCTTGGAGCAGAAAAAAAGTGATCTTCCTGTTGTTTCCAATGGTAAGAATCAGAGTTGATATCCAATGGCCAGGTCTGATCCTGAACCCCCTCCCCGTTAACCATTAGTCTCGGTGTTACGTATTAGGAGAGGGTATTCCTAGGGAGGAAATGACATGAAATATTTTGAGGCTACAACGTTGCCTTTTTTGCATAAATAAATATGACAGTTAATTTTATTTATTGTTTTCCAGGACCACAGTGCCCAGATG